ATGATCATCATATACTCGGCTCCTTCTACTACGATTTTGATCTAAACCTGGCTCCGGGAAATTTCAAATTACTCGATAAATAATTCTTCATGAAATCTTTCTCCACAAAATCCTTAATCACATCTACAGGTTTTTGGTCAAGCTGTGGTGCTGCATATTGACCCTTTATTAACCCTGCACTCAAATTATGCACCTGCAGTTGATTAAGCATGCTCCTGCGGTTGAAGCTAAGATTCTTCTCCAGAGTTCTTTTACTGGATCTGGCTTGCAATGCCTTCTCCAATCTGTCTACTTGAGCTTGCAATTCCTTCTCTTTTTCATTTGCCTTAACTTGCATTAACGCCTTCTCCATTGTTTCTAGCTTAGCCAGCAATGCCTTCATCTCTTCATTTTTTTCATCAGGCTTACTGTCATGGTGGAGGGATTTTGGAAGAATGCCATGAAATGGTAATCCACCTGCAAATATATACAGCAAAAGAACTGGAGTTTTGCTTCATTGTAACCATGAAGAGTAAGCTAAAATAGAATCATAAATTGATGTTTAGTGGAGACTAAAGCATGAGATTGGTTTACTTTCAGATTTCATTCTCACCCACTACAGTCTCTAATCTTTGGTTAATCTTGACAGATGGTCAGAAAGAGTTTTATGTTCAATCTCTCCCTCATCTCATCTTGAAGAAGAGAAATTCAATGATCACTTAGAACCAGAGATTGAAGAAGAAGAGAATGGTACCATAGAAGAGTGTCATGAGGGAAGTGATATTGATGCTCAAAGACCACCAAAACCTTCCTCTGTGATTATATTAGTTTGGAAAGTGAGGGTATTGATAATGTTCCTACTCAAACCGACAATGAAACGCATTTATATCATATATAAGTTCGACACTCTTAACATTTCACCAATCGGGTGGTACTTTTTTTTATCTCCGTAAGTCAAAAGTTGAAGATTTAGACGATGGTCAAAGATTTTGTATCTTTAGTGTTGGATTTAAACCGAAAAAAAAAAAAAACTCGGACTCTATTTTAATACCTCATCGTGCAAATTAAAATTTTCACATAATACAAAACTTTCGTTCCGAATTTCTCTCGATTACTACTCATGAATATCAAATAAACAATTTTAAAAGAGTTCTATTTAATATTTAAAAAAAAAAAATCATTTGAGATAATTTTATGGATGACTTATGGGATAATGTTTTATAGAGGCTAAAAAAGAAATTACAGTTTTATATATTGTAATTGTTTCATTTTAAAGTAAAATTGTGCAATTTATTTTGTAAATATTGATAATTCAAAATTTAAATTTAAACAATATAATAACTTTTTACTTTGAATAACCCTATAAATTTTACTTTAAAATCCAAATTTTACAAAAATAAAAATAAAAATAAAAATTCCTCATATTTTTCATAATCATATATGAAACATGAACTACCATTTACAAATCAACAAAACTATATATTATACTTGAATTTAATTCATATTCCATACTACGGCATCAGGACTCCTAACTATTAAACGACGTCGATTCAGTTTCAATCTGAAGCAAAGCAATCACCGTCGACCAATCGAAGAAAAGAAAACCAGATCATTGGGTTTAAATTAACGCGTAAATTTAAAAGACGACGGAGAAACAGAGAATACCACTTGAGACGTTCTTGATAGCCTCCTTGCAGGCGTAAAACGCAGCGTCTTTGGCTACACTGGCGGCTAGCTCGGTCTTGTTTGATCGGAGTTCTTCGCTGGAGAAATACGAGGTTACCAGCTTCTCGAAGCAGTGAACAGCGACGGCGGTGCCGATCCTTGAAGCGGCGTCCGTGAAGGAAGGTCCATCGCGTGTTTTGTCTTTGAAGGAATCGGAAATGGTGTCCCAGAGCCCCATCTCTCATCCAGCTCTCCACCTCTTCTCGGAGTTCCTAATCGCACACCGAAGACTCGGTAGTGTATTCTGTTGAAGTCAACTAATATATATACAAATATTCTCGGCATTAGAAAATATTATAATCGTATATAATCGATAGTGAAACCCGAAGGAAAATGGGCAATGGGGGCATGTACAGATCCTGATAGGTAACCCGTGAAATATTTAAATATATGATTTATTTTCTACCCATGACTATTTATTGGTGAAGATGGAACGAGGTTGCCATCAAACACCCCGGCAAAAACTTATTTTAATGGCTGCCAGTACGGTACAATATGTGTTTGTTAAGTATAAACGAGTATACCTTTCAAGTTCAGTTGACAAAAATGTTCTTTATTCCTGATAATTTAATATCAATTATTATAATTAGTACTTCTGTAATTAAATTTATTCATACTAATTTTTCTGGATTGGTATCTCCAAAGAACAGCTAGGAGAGATCAAAAGAACAAGAATGGAAGAATGGCAGATAGTCATATTCTTCTACTAGTCAACATGTTCATCTCCTCTCATTTCCTTATATAATTTCAATGCAAAGTAGCCATGTATCAGCAACAGCCTACACACAAACAATGCCGAGGACCGGTCAGTATTGAATAATGTTGTAAGAACGAAAAATATCAACTTCTCGAACCCTATCATCCTCGACTGCTGCTTGCTGCTCTACCATTCTATTTGCATTGAGTACTAAACCCAAATTGCCAATGTTTCCTTCATTAGTTTGATCCCTTTGTTTGCATTATAAGGCTCATGGAAAGCAACAATCTCTCGGGTAAAAAGCCGAGTCATGAACAATCACGGAAAACAATTTATTTGAAACATCGAGTTCCGTTTCTCCTTGCTCTCAATTGCTTGAACAAGTTTGTCACAATAATCGATTATCTGCTACTCAAAATCTTTCTTCCAACTCTCTTCAGTGTCTCACTTCTCATAAGGTAAGGTTCTTTTGAAAGCGCTGTCATTCAGTGTGAAACCATCAAATTGATACTATGACTCAGTTCAAGCTGGGGAGGTTACCCACACAGTTCCACCGCACACAACAGAAAAGTCACAAGACAGAATAGAATGTTGAAATAATTAGCTCTTATGAATTCTGACCTGCAGGATAGAAATTTCTTTTCTTAGCGCCATGACCAATTCCCCATAAGGAAAAGAGTCATCATAAATTTCCATATCCTGCCTCTGTCAAACATAACCTGATGCAGGTTAGAAATGCATCATCTCCACCATGTAAACCATATAATTAAGCATGGAGATTTCTCTCATGGTAATCATATAGGATAGAATCCATATGCATGCTCCGGAATAGTCCATTTGGAAGAAAATAAACAGTCAAGGATGACAAAAGAGTTTGGGCGGCTTCATTGGTTGAAAGTCACCAAAGCATCAATCTTTCCTTCAAGAAACGACCACATTGTGAGTAAAGAACATATATATTGTTACACCATGAACAAGACAATCCTTTGATTGAAATCGAGCTCCATTTTTCTATATGCTTATGTTCTGTGTTTCTATATCCTCCTCGTACACAGCCAAACAGATCATAGAACGAGAATTTTCAAAGGGAAACAAAGCATTACTTCATTATACATGAATAAGATATACATGCAAAAAGATCTTCCCCAATATACATACTGATAGACTAACAAGAAGCCCCTGATAAGGACATAAACAAACCACAGATTAAAGGAACCCCAAGGAAAATTCAGCACCGGTGACAGCCATGACCCTATAAACCTCAATGATCATGGCCCAGATTTCGACCTAAATCTAGTCCCAGGAACTACAAGATCATTTATAAAATATCTGTTCATGAACTCCTTCGCCATGAAATCCTTAATCACATCTTCAGGTTTTTGTTCCATACATGACACATACTGATCTTTTATTAACTCTCCACCGAAGTTATGTACCTGAACTTGCTCGGGACAACTGCTACTACCACCGAGATCCTTCTCCACTCTGTCTTCTTCTCGGGCCTGCAACGCCCTCTCCAATCTGTCTACCTTAGCTTGCAATGCCATCTCCGATCCGTCTACCTTAGCCAGCAATGCCTTCTCCATTTTATCTACCTTAGCCAGCAATAGCTTCATCTCTTCATTTTCCTTAGGTTTCCTGTCATGGTGAAGGGACTTTGCAATAATATCGTGAACCGGTAATCCACCTGCAAATACATACAGCTGATCAGAGAATGTCATAAGCCGGTAATCTAGAGCACCGACTTTAGTTTAAACAAAGCACTGATTAGAAAGTTAAAATGAAAAGGGGAAAAAAACAGAAAACCAGGAAGGATCTTGACGGCTTCAAGACAGGCGTAAGTGACGGCGCCTTTGGCTACTTTGGTGGCGAGCTCAGTCATGTTGGACCGGGTTTCTTCGTCGGTCAAGTACCCAGTGAGCTTCTGGAAGCAGTTAACACCGACGGCGGTGCCGATCATCGAAGTGGCGCGGGTGACGGATGTGGGATCGGGTGCGCAGTCTTTAAGATAATCAGTAGCAGAAGAAACGAAGTCCCAAACCCCCATCTCTCCTCCAGATCTCCTGCTCGGAGTCTACCTCGAACAGAGGACTCTCTCTCACAATCTGTCTGTCTACCCCAGAAGAGCATACTTGGTGTTGAAGGGCAACTGTACAAAAAAGTGGTCAAAGGAAACAACTTGGAAAATCGGCATTGAAGAAGCTACTAGGTACTGTCCAGAGTACGCTTCTCATTTATTTTTATAATTTTCATTTTTCAAATTTATATTTTCATTCTTTGGGTAGTATTTTATTTCTTTTTTTATTTAACAATTAAATTGAATATACAACATAAAAATTATTTAAAAAAAATATTTTTTTCATTAACAAAAAGAAAATCAAATAAAATTATCTAAATTCGGTCAAATAAAATTAAAAAAATATTTTACTTATAAAAAAAAAATAGTCGTGAAACTACGTACGTCTGTTACATTCGATACCGTGTCCCTAATAATTAATTATTAACTCTAATTTTGAATTTGAAAGAGACCTTAAAAAATCTTCCCAAGCACAGATTCCATTCAGTTTTATGGCTAGCATGTAACCCATAATTGTAAGGAGATATAAAGAAAGTGTACAACGAGGGAGGGAGGTAGTCGGTCTTTACTTTAACTCGACCTAAACTTGACTTAGTCGCCTATCAACTTCTGTGATATGACTAACTATGGTACTCAAATGGAGAAAGAATGACAGAGAAGCACAAGTAAAGATTGCCTTCTCTCCATTTCTTAACCAGACAACTTTTGCCTCCAATTTTTCTTAATTCTCCTATTGTCCCGCAGTCCTAATTTCTAGATCATGGACCTCTAAATTGCATAAGTCAATTTGAGATTTTCCTTTTTATATAACTTAGGGTTTAAAGGAGATTATGTTTCAGATTTTCGCATAACACAGACATTGAATTTACCAGCTAAACTAGTTAATGATACTTACTATCTATTATTTCCCTCTTTTTTAAAAAAATATATATTATTATGTATAGGATACTAAAGAATATCACCTGTATACAAAATAGTTATAAAGAGGTACATGATCATACTAAAATCTTTCAAATTTTCGATGTCACGACCCAACAAAATAGAACTAAAAGTATGAATTCATCTATCTCTAATTTTTGTAAAATTAGTCTCTATACTCTCGAATGCTCTCACATTCTTCTTCTTCCAAACCACCCAAAAAATAGGAAGGGAAATAAGAAATAGATGACCTCTCTTTTTACACAAACCCGCCCACGACCACAGCTCACTCCTCTCACTACCAGCCATAAACATGAATCAACAACATTTATCCTCGAAGCATTTCCAGAACAAACTAACAATGATATTCACAGTTTAAAATATGACAAAAAAGTACCACAAACCTCAGCCTTAAGTCTTTAGTTTCTAAAGATGGTTAGTCTAAACAAAAGTAACCAAGAAACACCCATATCAAACCTGAGAAGGAAGACCTGTCAAAAGGACAGCTGACAAAAATATTCACAGGCATTTCAAGCATTAGGGAGAGAGACGTTTTGTTCTATACATTAACTACAAAAGTTTGAACCATGTTTCTCCAGTGTTACAGAAATTTGTGATCTCATACTCCACAGTTGCTGTGATACCCGTTGACCTACAAAAAGAGTTTTATCACAAATTACAAAGTGTTTTCAACTGGATTTACATTCAAACAATCAAATAGGGAACCTTCAAGACACTTCCAAACCAAAAACGTTAATTGCCTATAAAATGAAATCAAGATGTTATAGAAATGAGGTAAGGCAGGAATGAGGATAATATTCTATTTAGCTAAGAATTATAAATCGTATTGTAAAGAATTAAGAGAATAAATTCAACTACGCATCAATACAAAGTACTTATCAGCTCTACATAAGCTTCGTTGGATTGCTCTGAGTTCTTTTTTAAAAAGTTTTCTTTTAGTTGTAATTAAAAGCTTGTTGTTATCAAAAGTAATCATAGTTTTTGATAAATAATTTTTGATAAAATAATGTTGAGATGTTCTTTAAAATATTTAGATTTGCAACAATACGTTTAAAAAACTTATGGAATTACAATTAATAAAATTACATTGTAGTTACGGGAAATTTTTATTCCTTCAGAAGTTGAAATATATTTATCTATTCTATATGAAGGGTCACGGAAAACCTTTTCAAAGTTGAGTTGCAACAACAGCAAATAGATATGATATCGTTGAAATAGTACAAGCAAAATAAAGTGTAAACAACAGAAAATTAAGTTTTTCTTCAAGTTGACACTATGAACCTATCAGGATCGTAGTCCACCTCATGTTCTTACCTTGTGAACTAAGTCCAAGACATGGAGAGTGATCAACTAAGGTATAGTTTATCCATCAGAATCTTTTTATTCAAGTTTATTGCAAATAAGTTAATTTGGAAGTCTACAAAAGTAGTTGTTCAAGCATAAATTAAAAGTTGCTCTTCAAGCAAATACGAAAAGAGCTATTGAATTCAACTCACCATGGCCAGTACAGTTCATAGAGATAGCCCAGCAAAAAGCAACTCCAACTCCTCTTCCTGCGACACAGTTCTCTAGCATAAAAGAAAAAAGACAAATTAAACAAACCCAAAATTCATACAAGATACCAGTATAGCACTGGATCTTGTGAAAAATAAGTCAACTCCATGTGCAAGACCAAACTTGTATTTCAGCAGAATACATGAGATCGGATATTTACAATATTCTTTGTCAAATGGGAAATTAAATTTGCGAATCTTTTGGGTACCTGAATGGATAATAGCTGGAGAACTTTATTGAGAACACGCCGACGATGAACTGCATAACTGCTACTAGCAGGAAGTTGGTTCATTCTCATAATTTCTTCATGAACTGCAGCCTTCCTCTCTTCAGATCCCATTTGCCTCCATCTACCTTTGGACTGAACACTAGTTTTACTCTCCATGGTTTCAAAGGATGCGGCAACTGTTTCAGATAATTGAATAATCTGCTTCTCCTCCAAAACAGCAAACTACTAGAAGTTTTAAGACATTAATCACCACTAAAATGAAAATCACATAGATTTACGTAAAAAACTTGAACAGACCAAAACAAAATTAAAATCAGTACAACTCCTAAAAGAGTCTTTCGGACTTGTAATTCCATTGAAAACCCTTCTTTCCTCTTTAACGGAAAAGGAAAAATCAATAAAGCCGCTAATATACTTATGATTTCACTGCAAATTCATCCAAATGATAAAGACAATTAAACTGGAACTGTATCTGAATCCTTCAAGCTAATTCGGAAACATATAGTCGGGATTCGGGATTCGCAATGCATTCCCCCCCTAAATTAACGAGTCACCAGTGAAAAACAATTGCAGAAACCCGAATTTACCAACTTGAAGGAATAATCAAATTAGGGTTTTCCTGGTAAAACACTGTTTGTCCTTCCTTTCCCAGGGCTATAACAGCCAGGTACATGTCAAAATTCATCATTAATTTTCATTTAATCTTCTAGAGCACTTTCTCGGAACAAGCAATCAGAGGACGCGAACGAAAACACAAAGAATAACAATGATTAATCATGAACAACTTTGAAAAGAAAGTTAGTGAAAGAGGGAGACTCACAAGTTGCCCTGTCTTTCCCTGGAACGCATAAAAGGAGGAAGCATCAATGATTTTTCTCTGGTTTAACACCGCGTTTTTCTCCGAGTCTAACCGGTGTATCCAAACCCGCCCGCTGACCCGTCTCATTTCTTTTTTATTTTTAATTAAATAAAAATAATTTAAATTATTATACTTTCTTTAAAAAAAATAATTATAATTTTTTAAGTAGTAGAAACAAACTGCATGAATTCACCCGCACCCATTCTTTTTTGCTACGCGGAGAGATAAAAATTAAAAGAAAATTAAGATATCGTACTGCACGTTTTGAATTAAAAGATATTTATAATATTATCAGTAAACAGTTGTTAAAGATCATTCGACATTTAAATATGAGAATGAAGACTTACCGATAGAGAGAAATTAACATTCATCAATTAGTCAGTTCATTTATTTCATTCGTAATAGATATGTTGAATCTGAACTTATCAATTCTGTAACAGTAAGTGTTTGATCGTACGAACGATAACGACATACGCATTAATACCGTAATCTTTCTTAGTGAATAACTGCACTGTCAGAACGATATTCATTTGTAGAATAATACTACAAAATTCGGCATTTCAAGTGAATTAAAAACTATCGAAAGTATTCCAAAATTCGCGACGAAAAATATAACATCTACCAATTTTTTTACTGAAACTTTTAAGATAAATATTATTTTTATTTCTAATAAATTTGCCGGCGGACAAAATTGGTTGTAGCACGATAAACATCGTCAATGTTCACCTTTAACTAATTCGTGGGTGATCTTTGACAGACAATAAGTTCTTCCGATCTCTGCTACCCACACCCATTCTACATGAACACAATTAATACGATCTTTAATGGGAAAATTATAAATCTCTTCGCACGTGCTAAGGAGCAAAACCACACAAACAGGTCCCCCACACGTGCTAAACAAAAACGCCCTCGATAATTTTAAAAGTCAAGATGCAAGACTCGTCTCGTCTCTCTTTCTTTGTTCCTCTTTCTCTTTCGGGTCGCATGATAATCAGAGACTGTATATTGTTGTAAAAGAATAGAGACAGAGATAAAGAGGAAGAGGAGCGACAGAGGAAGAGAGAGGAGGGGGGGAAAAGGGCGTTAAAAGACCAAATTGTCCTTTTGTTTCATCCAATTTCCTCTTCTCTCAGATTCCGATTCATTACCCGTCCGCTCACCATGAACGAGAAGGCCAACGTTTCCAAGGAGCTAAATGCCAAGCACAGAAAGGTCTTCACTCTGTCTCGTTGATCCTCGACATAAATTTCAATTTTGTTCTTCGATTTTATGTCTAGCTTGCTCGTCGATGTCAATCTTGTTAGTTGACGTTGTGTTTGGTTGCTTGGGAATGGGAGGGAGATGGGGCAAATAGTTGATGATCTTTTCGTAATCGGGGTTCTCGGGACCGTATTATTAGCGGATTATGGATGCTCGACTCTTTTTGATATTTCTATTGATTTGATCTGCGGTTTGTTGATTCATGTGGTGTTCTGCTACTTGTTCGCATATAGCTTAGCTACCCTTTATAAAATTTATGCCGCAATTCTCCAATTTCTTTGTCGGAATTATTTGTAAGTTCTTCATGTGCTGGGAAATTTGATGATATGGCATCTTTCTTTTTTTAAAAAAAAAAATTATTGAAATGATGGTTTTCATAAACATACCTAAAATTGGGTGTGGGATTTCATCTATCATATTGAAATTCACTTGATTTTCATCACTTGTTTTTTATTGTATCTCCATATGAAGCTCACAGTTGGTATGATCAACGAAGTAGCATTAACTTTTTGTTTCTTTTTTGTCTTTGGAAAAGGAGGTGAGGTGGAGTGAGGGGATTATTGAGTGGGACTGGCAATTTGACTTATATCTGCTTGAAAGTCTATTGGTTCTGGTTAATTGTTTTAATGAGGTGTCTGCTTAATTTTTGAACTCCTGCTTGGATGTCCATTGGATGTGAAAATTTTATGAGATCTATTAGGATTTGACACATTAAGTTCACTGGTAATTTCACTGACTTGGTTCACTTTAGTTGCTTTGTTTCAGTCGGTTGGTTTGCTTGCTGCTGGTACTTGGTCCACACTGTTAATCATCACCCTCTCTTTAAATAATTTATGTTTCAAGCCTATTTGCCTTAGTTTGGCCATTCCACTCTCTTTTCCTCTTCAAGTTCTTACGGTTCTTTCCCTCTATATGTGCAGATTCTTGAAGGACTTCTTAAACTTCCAGAAAATAGGGAATGCGCCGACTGCAAATCCAAGTATGCATCCAAAAGAATCAATACAGCCAAATACATACCATTCTTATAAAAAATTTATTATGCAATAAGGAAATTCATTTACTAACATATTGTGCCTAATATCAGGAAATGTTGTTTCATTGTTGTTTTTATTCATTTTGATTGGTGATAATCATCCAAATATTGTGCAGAGGTCCAAGATGGGCTAGTGTAAATCTAGGCATCTTTATATGCATGCAATGTTCTGGGATTCACAGAAGTCTTGGAGTACACATATCAAAGGTGATTTCTTGACATCTCAATGCAGCTTTTTTTCTTTATGCGCTATTTTTATTGGTTCATGAATTTGGCTTGGCTGCATTTATTTCCATGCATCTCTTATTGCATAGATTATTCACACAAGCCACTAGTGCTTAGGCATATCAAATTTAAATCATGCAATTTGAAAGGTGATAAACTGCAGAATTTTTAGGAACCCAAATCAATCATGCCAGATTTTCTCATGAATTTATTGACAGCTTTGGTTATTCATGTCAAGGGTAAACAGGGGCTTCCATCAAGTTCATTTCGAGCAACCTGCATGATTGAGCATGGACATATTTATAACTTTTTAGTAGGGGAAGATATGTGTATTTAAGGATCATTTGACTGGTAATGTTATAACTGAGAAAAGTATAGTTAGGGATAGATGTTGAAAAATTCATAGGAGCTCCTCCTAAAAAAGAATAGGAAAAGACAAAAGGAAAAAGAAATAAGAAATGGAAAGAAAATAGGTACAGGACCTTATCTCTCTTGCCTCTTGGCTACTGTGTGGATTGTTTGGAAGGAAACGGATAGAATGGCTTTTGGGGATGTGGTTCGTTCTTTTCGTAGAGCTAAGGGTATTGGTTTGAGACACTAGATTTCCTCTTTCTTCTACTGAAGATTTAGAGAACCTTATTAATATTTGATTGATTTGTAAAGGTCCCTCTTTTTCAACGTGGGTAGCCCTTGGTGTCTTTTTAATATTTTACTTTCTTTAGAAAAATCAGGACAGAGCAACCTCCCGTTCCATTTGCATAAGATGTTCTTTTTGAGTATTCCTTGTGTTTTTGGGGGAATGCTAAATCTACCACATAGAGGACTCATAAGGATTTTGTACACATAGGCCAAGGCATCATTACCTAACACTCTTGCCTCTAAACTCTTAAAGAGTGAGCTAACAAGGTCTTTGAATGGGCTCTCCATCCTCACAAAGAAGTAGCCTGAATTGGGAGCACATTTGTAGCTTAGGCTTCTTGCTATAGTACACTCCAACAAATTTGCCTGTTGGGAAGATGAGAGTGTTATTCTTGTCTTGTAGCTAGAAATGGCTTTATAGCATTTACATTCTAAATTACGAATTAAAGTAGCTTGTATGTGTATTTAATACACTCAAGCTAAATTGGTTTTCTTGAGGATTAGTTATTTGTTGCATTAGTTGCATCATTATTTCATATTAATAGTCTTCTTGATTATGTGCTGAGACATTTATAATTCTTTATAGAGAGGAATATGTATATTTTATAAAGATCAGTTTTTGATTGATCAATTTATTACTGAAAAATATAATGTCCTTTAGAGACTTCCTTAGGGCATTGGCATTTTTACTTGCAGATCAAGGTAGCTCATACATGTATTTAGTACACCTCAAGTAAATAGTTTCTTTAAGGGTTGATTGCTCACGGATTGGTGCATCATTACTTCATTTTTTCTCTTTGATGTTATTTTGTTACATTAGACATGCTTTTGTTTTTATCACTTTGTTGAGTTACATGTATTTTGTAATGCCTACTCTTGCTCTTGCTAGTTCCCAATGCTTAATTGAGCATTAGTGTAGTATTTATTTCATTAAGAAGTGAAGTGTTTCTTTCACTTGTTGTGGTTCCTTTTTGTTTTCTGGATCTTATTTGCATGATAGTATTAGTGTTGTCATCTCAATTCCACTGCTGTAAGATTTCATGTGTCTTATTGGATGTTAGTTAGTCCACATTAACATGCAATGATAATGTTAAATCAAACATCTGTTGTTATGCAGGATGATATCTGATTTAAATTTGGTTTTGCTGCAGGTTCGATCTGCAACTCTTGATACATGGCTTCCAGAGCAGGTTGCATTTATTCAATGTAAGTGTGCATTTGAGTCATGATTTAGCAGTTGTCATATTTGACACACTTGTTTAAGATTGAAAGTCACAATGATATTTATAACAATGGCTCTTATTTCATGCAGCAATGGGAAATGAGAAGGCAAATAGTTTCTGGGAAGCAGAGCTGCCCCCTAACTATGACAGGGTTGGGATCGAAAATTTTATTCGTGCGAAGTATGTTCCTTACAATTCCCGAGATTTACTTGTGCTAACTTTTGTTCATCCGATTCCAGTGCATCATTTACTTTGCATCACATTTTAGCTTTAACATTGCATATTTTCTTTTAGGCTAATTGTTACCACTCTTTCAGGTACGAGGAGAAGCGATGGACTCCCAAAGATGGAAAATCTCAATCACCTTCTAGAGTTCATGATGAAAAGCCATCCGCGCACTGGCAGAGGTCTGGAGAAAGAAGTGGGCATAGACTGAGCAGCAGTTCTGAAAATTTATTTGAGGAAAGGAATCACATTCAGGCAGTGACTACAAAAAATAGTTTACCAGCTACAAGAATCAGTATTCCTGTTCCTCCCAAAGGACCTGAGCAGGTACTCCCAGTGACGTTTTTGATACTTATCTGAGTTCTATTTCTGAAACTTATCTTAAACTTTAGTATCTCTTGCATAAGCTGCAGGGATTTTGACTTAGGAAATCCGTTATAGGAACTTTTGTGAAGAATTTCTTGAAAGTACCATGTGACATTAGTGTTGTTATTGGTATTCATTGTGAATGGTTTGAAGATATGAATGATTTGAAGATAATAGAAGTTGAGGATAGTAGTACATGGAGTAGAAAAGAAATGTGATGTGATAAACAGAACTAACAAAAATCTAATAGCTATTAATATATTCAGAGTGAACTGTTATTAGGCCTTCTTCTTTCTTCCTTTTTCTTTCAAATATTAAGAAACAGGTTTGAGGCTTAATTTTTTGATACAGGTGACACCTCTTCCGCAACCACAACAGGTTGTTCAGAAAGCAGAATCACAAGAAATGCCTGCTGAGACAACTAAACAGGCTGCAGATGTTGCTTCAGCTGTCTCTCCTCCAAAAGTTGATTTTGCCACTGATCTTTTCAACATGCTGTCTGTAGATAGTCCTAGTGAAAATGGCTCAGAGGCATCTTCAAATGATGATGCTTGGGCAGGTTTCCAATGTACGTCATAATTTTTAATTCGATCTCAATTATTTTCTGTTTTCTACATCAAAGCCCTTGTGCTTTAGTTCAGATTTTGACCCTGGTCCCAACATTCATACTCCAACCGTAGTTTTCCTTTTTAAACATTGCAAGAAGGTCCAACCGTTAAAATCTGTTCAAATTTTGTTTTTGAAAGGAACATCTGACAAATTTTTAACGGAAAATGCAGAAATATCATCTAACTCTGTACAGCATTATCCACATGTGCCAATATTTTCTTTGGAGGCAGTTACTTGTGTCGATCCTTTTTTAAACATGTGCTGAAACTGATCCTATCACCAGTTAAAAGAGAAGAATCAGATATGCTAATTATGAGCTTACAAAATCAATTTATGTGGCCATAAGTTTTACATTGACCAAGTAGCCAATGTTCTCTGACTTTTTTTCCTACGGCTTTTTCTTACGGTAATATTGCATAGTATTCCATGTAAGATACTTTTATGTATATATACATACATGTCATGCACATCCATATATACACATCTATACACATAAATATATCTAAATGGATAAATGCATACATAGATACATTAGCAAATATTTGCATATATGCATATATTTGTAAATACATATATATTTCTATATAAGACATATACACATAAATACATGCATATTTCCATATATTGATATATTTGTAAATACACATATTTCTATGTACGACATGTAGCATGTAAGATCAGCAGGTATCAGATACATTTCCAGATCTTATTTTTTCTTGTATAAATAAAAATCCATTCCTCAATTGTTTGGTTTCAAAAGCTCCATATGAAAAAAGGCTTTCATCTTTTGGTTTTAAATTACTCTTTATTACAAGGGATTATTACTATATTTAATTGTGAGTATTAATCGAATATATATTAATCATGATTAATAACTATCATAAATTGTCCTAATCTAAAGTAAAGGGCACAGGTAAGTGGCGAAAATGACGGAATTTATTTGTTCTGTAGAACTATGAAAGGTGAATTCTAAAATTATATAATGCTGAGTTAAGGAGAAAACATTTTTAAGCCATAAATTAACTTCTATTTCTCGAGAGTTCTTTAAATAAAGTATCTAATATGGTTCTCGAATGATCAGTAGATCTGTTGACCTTTATCTTTCTGCATTTTCAATCTGCAAACTTGGGCATATAAACAGTATTGTTATGTTTATAATTTTCCTTGTTAACTCAAATTCGCATATTTCGGGTTGGATTAAGTTTGATGTAATTTTCTCAGTCTTTTGAATCACTTAGGATTAGCGATTATGGTCTTTTTATCTTTGTTGCTGTTGATTTTGACACTCAGTATATTGGCAGCCGCTGGAGAAGCATCATCAACTGAGAAAGCAGGTTCAGCAAAATCAACTGAGACCATTACTCTAGCTGCTACTGGGATTGAAGATTTATTTAAAGATTCCCCTTCATTAGCAAATTCCCAAGCCCCACAAAAGCCCCAAAAGGACGTAAAAAATGATATTATGAGCCTCTTTGAGAAGGTACTTGTTGAAGCTTGTTTGTCTTGGGATCTTCATTCAAAAATCTAGTAGATTGATTATTTCTTAGTTTATCAACACCTCCTTTACTATCTTTTTCCTTACAAATACAAGCATTTGATCATCGATGTGTTGCATTTGGGAATATCTCTTTTTTTCCCAGTTTCCATATCTTGTCAAGATATACCATGAGGTCCTATTGTAGGTTTCGTGTTCAGAAATATATGGAAATTTTATTTTTTCTGGAGGGGCTATATAGAGTTTATAATGTCACTTTTCGGATGCATTACAGTCGAATATCGTGTCGCCATTTTTTGTGCATCAGCAGCAACTTGCGATGCTGGCACAGCATCAGTCCCTTCTCATGGCTGCTGCAGCAAAATCTGGTGGTGGAGACCCAAAATTTTCTGCCAGTAATCCCCAACAAGCATCCAATGGTGCCAACTTTCCTACACCAAATTGGCCAAATGTTGGTCTCCAAGTTCCTGGAATGATGATGCCGATGGGTGGACCTGCTGATTTGCAGAAACTAATGCAGGTAAGATATAACATTAGTTGAATATAGTTTTCGTAGCTGTTTGATAACTGCGTATCTGGCGAGATTCTCATTGTTGCTGTATTTTCCTTTTGATCAGAATATGAACATGGGACTGACACATCAAGCAGGGAACTCTGTACCATACCCAGCACCCAGGTAAATAAAAATGCAACTTTTTCCATATTTCTCATAATGATATTCCTGGATATGATTTTTTCGGGGAAGAAATGTAAATGCACAGCAAATAATTTTTTCTGTTTTAAACAATGTGTGTGTAAGGTTCATGAATCACCCTCGTTTGCTCCCTATATGAATTTCTTCCCTTGTGAAACAAGTAATTTAACTGTTAGTCGAATCCTTTACTGTTTATAGTGTCATGTTTCTGGTCTTGCCATTAGTTCTTTCCTGTGAACATTAAAACACAACCTTTGATAATAATGTAATAATAGTTCCGTTTTTCTCTTATTTTCAGCTTTTATACAATGGAGCAAGTTACCCCAGTTAATGGCGTGGCAACCCCCACAACCAACAAACCTCAGTCAGCTTCCCCAGTTTCTTCAAGTAGCCAGTCTACTCCATCACAGTCGGGGAAGGATTACGATTTCTCCTCATTAACCAAAGGGCTGTTCTCAAAATAGTGAGTGACCCATGTTTCATCATGTTTCTGTTCATCATACAACACCAAATGTTAAAGTTTACAGGAAAACTTATCACTTCGGGAGTTTTTGTTTTCCTCTGTCTCTCTCTCTCTCTGCTTCTGGCCGTGCTGTCTCGTGTGCTGAAAAAATGTAAACCATTTGTAGATGCAGTTTCCAGTTTTTTTTCCCTGATATTATTTCGGTGATGCCTTCATTTGTTTTAGTAGATGTATTCGAGAGTAATAAAGATGAGTTTAGCTTGATTGCATTTGATTTCTTTAATCAAACTTTTTCTTATACCATTGTGAACATTTTGCTATTCTTGTTTTTTACTTGGTGGTTGTGAGTGTTGATCCCTACTTACATCCGTAGGGGATATGTATGTATATAAAAATGGAACTGCCACTAAATGAGTCAAAATCCTGACCTTGAACCCTTACCGGCTCAAAGACATTCTTAACCTATTGCTGACAAAAATTAAGAAACAGGAGTACCCCATATGAAGTGTGGTGGTCCAAGTACACCATACTTAACCCCATTGCTATAGGGATATGTATATATATATATTTTTTAACATTGCTCTGTGATTTGGCAATATTACATATTAACAGCTTGTAAATGTGTACTAAAGTCTAATTAATTAATAGATTTATTTATTATTTAGTGTTTAATTATGATTTTTTTATTAATTAATCACATAATAATTTAATGAGCTTGCTCTCAAGTCTCCAAATAATCCAAATAAAAAATTTACAGTAAATTTTTCAAGAAATCAAACAACCTCTGCAGCCTTTGAAGAGACATTAAAAGTTCAAATTCTCTGCAGATCAAGATTTTCATTCCAAAACCATCGGAAGATAGCTCAAAGATCGAGAAACAGCAGGTTTTGTGACAGTTTTCTCATTGTTGTCTACAAAAAATTTAGTTTTGTTCGAGATTAGACAATTGAGTATGCCTTTAAAAGCCAAGAACACAAATTGAAATTTAATTCTTTAGGGCTAAAAACACAAGTAGAAATTCAATTCTAATGGGGATCAAGCATGTACATCCCTTGAACTAAGAATACATTTCGATTCGAGATTAAATTATTTAATCATTTCATCAAGTCGAACACACATCAAAAGATTATGACAACAAAAAAAAAAAAGATGTATATTTTTATAGAAAAATAAAAACACAAAAATTAAACAAAACTCATTGAAATGTATGAATTAATTATTTTTACGATGTTTATTTTTAAGCATAAAATTGACTGTAGACTCAGCATATGCAAAGGCCACTGCTCATTGTTCCACATGAATGGCAAAATTGGAACTGATCTCCTGATTAATTCTTAAAAAAATTCGCTGCAGTTCTGTTGGAGTTTGGTATTGAAAAATTCGTTATATCATATATATTTTAATATATATAATATATGTTTTAATCTAACTTACATACATATAATATATATATATATATATATTTGGGTCAAGTTAAATTGAGTTTCAGTGAAAAATTAGTCAAGCTAAAAACAATATTTAAAAAAAAAAAAAATCCACTCAACTTAAATATGAATTTGTATAATGAAATTTTAAAATCAGGCTAAGATTGGAATTTTGTGAAATATATCCCAAAAGCAACTGGTTATCATCTCTATTTGTCATACAATCTGTCCTTTTCCAAATGAAAATTTAGTAATATTCTATTGTAATTTAATGATCCTTATCTAAAATAAGTTGCATATATATATATATATATAGAGGCCAGTTTTTGTATACAAAATTAAATTTTCTATGTGGTAATTCATTGGTGTCATGATCATCTTCTTCTTCATGTAATCACAGGTTCAGTCCTTACCCCACGTTTCCTGCTTCCCCACCAACCATTTAGGAGGTCATTGGATTTTTCCATACCGAAATTAGGTTTAGGCAGCTACAATGTTGGACTTTGAAGAACAGAGGAAATCCAACCCAATTGTCCTCCTGCTATCTTCCATGCATGCAGCTTTCTTTTATATCTATATATATATATATATATATATAATTATAATCATTTGTTGCATGTGGGTAAAAGATTATATGAAAGGGAAACTTGGTGCTAGGCGGTGCTCACACGT